CTCCAGGCCAATTGGCTGTGAGAATCAGCTGTGTCTGCAGTGGGAGAACTTCTGTGCTGGAGACACCCTCCTGGGGCAAGACTTGCTTCAGTGGGGCTTTGGTGCTCACTGAGTCTGCCCCCTGAGTGTGTCCCTTATGGATCTGAGGAGTTGTAATCTGCATGGTCCCACTCTGACCACTGGGTACACTGGCACTTGGATCTCTAAGGAGGTGCTACTTTAGCCTCTGCCTGAGGCTACCTAGCAGGAGCCCAGCTGTGAAGCAATGCAAGCTGCTGTGGGGCCTTGGGCCTTCTTTTGGAAGTTCTGGGTTTCTCTCCATCCATGTATTTTTTTTAAAAGTCATAGGAATATAATGTATATCATTGTGACCATAGTAAATAATACTATATTGCATATTTGGAAGTTGACTCATTATCTTGTACATTTGAAACTAATATAATGTTACATGTCAATTATACCTCAATTTAAAAGTAAAAAAGAGGAGAAGAGGAGAAAGAGTTCAGAGAAAAAAATTCCAAAGACTTGATCAATCAGACATGGGAAATAAGAGCAAATCATCAAAGGAGACTCAGATTTCTAGCTTAAGAGACTTGGTGTATATAATTCAATTTGCCATTATAGGAAACCAGAAAAAAAATAACTTTCAGTAAAAACAAACTACAAGAGGCTCAGTACTGGAAATACTGAATCTATAGTTGGAAAGTTGGGTTGGGGAGGAGGGGTTACAAATGAACAGTATACATCTTGATTTGATTATTTTATTCATTGAAAAAATTAACTGAGAGTTCTCTAAAGTTGCCAGTAGACCATTAAATTATAAAAATGATGGTCACTGCCCTTGAGCAACTCAATCCAGTAAGAGAAAAGGAATCTATCTGTAGGCAAAGGGTAGAGACTGGTGGAACAAGTATGTACTCAGAGGATGATGGGTTCATTACCAATCTTGGCCACACTTTAGCATCACCTGGGGGAACTTCTAAACATCCCAATACCCAGTCCACACTCTGAAAGTGGAATCCAGGCATAAGTGGTTGCTTAAACTCTCCAGGTGATGCCCACATGCAGCCAAGATTAAAAGAGCAGTATCTTGCTCAACTCAGAAGAAAACACCTGGGACACCTTTCCTCTGAAACATTTGGCAATAGTGTGGAGAAGGACAAGAGGTGGAAATAAAAGAGTTTGGTTAAAGGAGCTCT